CCCAACCCCAACCCCAAACCCAACCCCAACCCCAAAACCCAAACCCCAACCTCCTGTAGGGACCGGGACTCGTTGCCTTCTCGTAAATACTTTTATTTTTGGTTTGTATTATAAAACTCAAAACAAAGTAATAGAAATTCAATATTATTTTAAAAAATTATGAATTGCTCCATTCATCATCTAAATCCTATATCATTTATATGTGTTGCTCCACATAAGTGCTAATGCGCAAGGAAATTGTGTGCTGAATGCTAATTTGAACATGAAGTTGACAAAAATCACACAGTTCCGATTAATAAGTTTAAAGAAATTGTTGCGAAGAAATTAAATGAATCTAATCTTATTGATTCATCGGAATTAACAAAATAGAGAATGCATTTTAAATAAATGCTGTCTTCAACTCTTAAAATGTTAAAAGATATTTGGGATGAAACGACAGAATCAATTAAATAGATATATGATTTGATTGAGATGGAAGATAAATCTTATTTAAATTATATGAACTACAATGTCAATCCTTTAGAATTGACCAATACCGAATTAGAAAAGTAAGTCTAAAGTGTTATAGGAAAACAATTAGATGATTGGAATAATTAGAAAAATTCTTAGTTGAAGAGGTTGGAAATGACAAAGCAATATTGGGAAAAGGAAACAAAGGTGTTTTGTGAAAATTAAATAAAGAAATGAAGGAAATTAACTAATTAATTAATAGGACTGATAATTCAGAAGAAAACATTCAATAATGAAAGAAATAAAGTAAGTTTACAACAGAAAGGAAGATTTGTATTAGGTATTGAATTAGACTAAGTATTTTGATGGATCCTACCTTAATGAGCTACTTTCGATGCTGAGAAATAAGAAAATTACAAATTGTTTAGAGTGCTTTAAAAATTATACTCAGTTTTAATTTATCACATCAATGATTAAAAATGTTAGCGAAATAGAATTTAATAAGAAAAATTATTCAACTGAGAACCATGATTAAATGAGAAAGGGCTTAAAAAAATAAATATCTTATGATTAGTAAATGATTGAATTTGTGAAATTCCTAGTACGTCTTACAGCCATTGACGAGAGATTTATCCAAAGCGGATCGAATGCACTCAATTTATTAGTAGAAATGAAAGTGGATTTGAGAGAATAAAGCTTTGAGAATATAAGGAATAGAGATACTTCTTTGGTTGGTGAAAATTTTGTAAGATGCAATTTCAATGGATCAGAATTTGATAATGTGGATATTAGTGGAATGAACTTGAATTAAGCTTAATTGTTCAATTGTTAATGGAAAAATATTAAAATACATGAGTTAAATAAATTAGATGGTCATTCATCAACAATTTATTCAATTTGTTACTCTCCTGATGGTACTATATTAGCATCTGGTAGTGCAGATAAGTCTATCCGTTTATGGGATGTTAAGATAGGATAATAAATAGCCAAATTAGATGGTCATTAACATGAAGTTCATTCAATTAGTTACTCTCCCGATGGTATTACATTAGCATCTGGAAGTTTTGATAAATCTATCCGTTTATGGGATGTTATGACAGCATAAGAAAAAACTAAATTGGATGGTCATTAATATGAAGTTCATTCAATTTGTTACTCTCCTGATGGTACTACATTAGCAACTGGTAGTTCAGATTACTCTATCCGTTTATGGGATGTAAAGACAGGATAATAAAGAGCCAAATTAGATGGTCATTCAGATTATGTAAGAACAATTTGTTACTCTCCTGATGGTACCACATTAGCATCTGATAATGATGATAAATCTATCCGTTTATGGGATGTTAAGACAGAATAATAAAAAGCCAAATTAGATGGCCATTCATCAGCAGTTTATTCAGTCAATTTCTCTCCTGATGGAAATACATTAGCTTCTGGTAGTTATGATAGCTCTATCCGTCTCTGGAATATAAAAACATCAAAGGAAATTCTTCAATCAGATAGTAGCTATAAAGGTTTGCTTGCCTAGTTTAACAAACCACTTCATTCTAACTCCTTTTTGCAAAATGGTATTCATTATTAATCATTATATAGTTAATCCTGATCTTACAATACTTAAAATATGTTAGAATCCTTTATTTGAAGCATCAGGAACACTTATCCTATAAGGAAAATTCATTAATCATTAAGGGAATGATTTAAAACCTTAGTTTAAATCAAAGGGTATTTGCTTTTTAGAGGACTTCAAGCAAAAATGAATTTGATTATTAATTACAAACATTACAATTATAATTTTAATCATTTTATTAATACTTTTTTTAATAATATGTTCTTTTTTGTTATAATTCTTAATCTTCAAATTCTTAATATTGATAAGTACATGTTTTTCAACAGTATTCCATTTCACGCAAGTTACAATTATTATTTTTCAATTAATATTAAAAGTATTTGATATAAAAAAGGCTGAAAATATATATTAATTATCAATAAATATTCTAAACTCTAAAAGGATTTAGAGATCATAATTATATCCATCCCTAACAACCATCTAATAATCTTAAATAGGCTCTATGTGAATTACATCCAAAGTAGTTACTTTCAACAATAATTTTGCATAATTTATATAACAGTTATTAATCACTCAAATAAGAACTTTATAATCTTACCTTACAAAATTAATTAATATCTATACAAAGATAATATTGGTCAACTAGTTCAATTTTATTAATTCATTATGAAATTAAGAAACTCAAGATTGGTATTGTGATTTTTATTACATTATGGATAATATTAAAAAATAACAAAAATGTTCTAATCTATTACTTTGAGTTTAACCCAATTAGACATTAAATTTTTTAACTAAATTTATACATAAATGTATTATTTTCACTTCAAAAGTTTTAATGTTATGCCACAAACAGTAAGAGAGATGGAGCAGTTTGTTATAACAAAAAGGATATCTTCATATTTTAACATAAATTTCGTTATATACATTCGGTGAAGAATTATTTCAATATCCTGTATTGACAGGATAGAAATATTATCTTCAAATAATCGTTATAAGGATAACCCTTCAACTATTTAATGTTCTAATAAAATTTATATGAAAAACCTAAAAATTCTCAATAATTAAAGTTGAATTATTTGTGTTATTTTCATTCTATATTCTTTAAGAATCCAATTATGCATAAGTCAATGTATGTTTTCATCAGTCGTGTAATTTAAATCAACACTAAATCTGTGCAATGTTGCATTTCTTCCAAATAATAATATGCAAGTTACATTTTTGATTCATAGTAAAAAACTCAAAATATAGTAATAGAAATTCAATATTATAGTAAACAAAGATGACTCAAAACAAGAAAGATGACTTGTTTAAGGTGTTATAATTGATTGAAGATATGGATGATAAAATCTCCATAATAATTGGAATGCTCTTAAAGGATGGAGATTCAGATTCTCTCAAATATATTTCCAATATTGAAAATCAACTTAGTTACAAAAAATACATTGTTTTATGCGCCAATTTATAGCCTTTTGATTAGCATTGGAAATTAGACGCTGCTAAAAGCAATCTTAAGAAAATTATAAATGTTCTCAACATAATAAAAGATCATGAATTTAATACACAGAGTTACTCTAAGGATGATTATGAAGAATTTAAAAAGGATCTAATCACAAAAATATCATTAAATAAGAAGATAATAGGATTCCTAAATTTTTTAGTTCAACTGAGTGCTTTAGATGAGACATATATTTAGTGTGGATCAAATTCTCTTCATTTGCTAGTATAAATGAAAGTGGATTTGAGGGAATAAAGTTTTGAGAATATCACGATAAGAAATACCTCTTTAGTTGGTGGAAATTTTGTAGGATGCATATTTAATGGATCAGAATTTGACAATGTCGATATTAGCGGAATGAACTTGAATTAAACTTAATTGTTTAATTGTAAATGGAAAAATATCAAAATTCATGAGTTAAATAAATTAGATGGTCATCATGAAAGTGTCAATT